TTTTTTTTAAATATACCGAAAAATTTTCATCTTGAATCGGAAACTTAAGACTATAATTTAAAATTTTTTTCTTCTAACATGTACTACTTATTAAAAAATAAGAAGTTAAAAACTATGTACATACATACATCGTATGTGATTAGACACGTATTACACAATTTATCAAATATATAAAAATTTCCTCTTAAAAAGTAGAATACTTAGAAGTAAAAAAATTAAAGTTTAAATTTTTTATCTTGAAACTTTTCATATTCTTTGTAAGGATATATCTTAACACATCCATCTCAACACATCTTTATAAGAAAGAAAAGAAATTCGAGGAATTTAAATCGGAAGATCCGAGAATCAAACGACTGATGTGCTTCATTCTATTCATCTTTCACCGAAATTCTGACTTAATTAGATACCGCCCACGAGTATTCAAGTAAACGTAGGATAGTCCTTCGTTTAATGCATGCGACGAACCGAAACTATGAAGTCATTTGCATTAACAAATTAATTTCTCCTACTACAAACAGATCAATTTGTCAACGGTGATTAAAGCTTACGACATACGTATTTTTTTTTCTGTCAGATTTTTCTGTCTATTTGCGTTTTAATAAATTACTAAAATTATATCACATAAAATACAGAATTTCTAAAAATTTATTAAAATATAAGGAATAAAAAATGCATTGTGCTATAGGCTTAAATAGTTTTTATTACTTTAGATTTAAACAGTTTTTTTATTTTGGAAAAAAATTCAAGTAAAAAACTAATTTCTTACGGCAAAAAAATTTTGATTCTTTAAACTAAAATCTGATGCTTTAATTAGCTTATGTAAAATGATATAAAAATCATAAAAATTATATAAAATTCATGTTAAACATAGAAAAAGATATAGAATTTATTTTATTTCTTAATTATTCATTGTTAAAATGTTTGCTATCTATATTATTTCGATATTATTAAATGTTTCTTTGTCTTTATAATTTCAAATCAAAACGGAAATATCCTTGCATTGTAAATGAACTGATATCCTTTATCGACAATTTAAGTGCATTATCGCTTATTATTATTTAAACGACAAGTATTTTATATTTTACTCCAATTTTAAAAGCTAACACTAAGCAACTAGTCCATACTATTATTAACACAGATAATACTTCATTAGCATAATTAGTTTACTTACTGTTTTATCGTGTAATATTGATTGTAATTGTACGTATTTTAAATTTTAATTATTGAGGTAACGCTCTAATATCATATCGATTTAGTTGGAGATAATTCGATAATTCATTGTTTCATTAATTTATATTTTACAATATGTACAATTATAATAAATATAAAAAACAGCGTCAATCATTTAGACATTGTACTACACTTTAACTTTTATAGTTATATTTTCACAGAAATCTTTTGGATAAATGCAAAAACTGAATTCTAAAATAATAAGTATTGTGTAACGCGTAAAAAAATAGTTAAATGCTCCAAAAAAATATATTCGAGTAAAAAACTTCCGAAAACTGCTTTTTACAAAATTCTTTATTCAAAGTGTTCTATTCAAATTTTTTTTTCGATTATATTCACCTCTAGACCAAGTGTATCGTTCGCTTAATTTACATGCTCTCTAAATTCTCTTTGTAACATTAAAAAGAGGCTGCAATTTGATGGCGCGCGAATTCCACTGTATTTCGAGTTGAGAGAGAGAGAGAGAGAGAGCGCTGGACCGAACGAGAGATGTGTGTGCACGTTCGTGCCTCTTTTTGTTTCATCTCCCGTACCACCATCTGGAGAGGGTCGGCCGTGGCGCATCGCGTCCGATACCAGGTAGAATCCCAAGGTCGGCGTGCGGCCCTTCGAATTCCACCGTGACAAGGACTCCGTGCAACCTTCGTACGTCAATGAAAGTGCGCGCTCGATGACGGACGACAGGACGGGTACGAAATAAATGCGCACCAGAGAGTGAGCACGCACGATGAAAATATCGGTTTCCTGATCGGTTGTCCCCGCGGAGAACAGATCGCAAAGGGTTTTCTCTCGTTTCGTTCCACTTCGCATTCGAAATAAAATGCATTCTCGCGGAAATTCGCTTGCGCGTTGTACAGTTATTCCCTTTTACTGTGTTTCTTATTGCGTTTTTACATCCGCGAATCGCAAAAGTATAATAAAAGCAAAACTCGCTACCACCACTTTCCAATATTCGTGACCACAATGTAGGAGGAAAATCTTCCATCGTGCTTATTGATCAATTATTCCTGTTGTCTTTTTCCATATTTAAAAATCGAATTAGTAACACTTTGCGTTCCTCGTTCGTAAAAAAATGTACGAAGTACGTTTAAATAAAACGGAATGAAAAGAGTACTTTTAACATAAAGAGGGGGGGGGGGGG